TGTGGCAGTCTCTGGGTCTTTTGTCTTTGCTGCCAAGAGCAGCATTGATCAGCCCCAAAGCTCAGCTTCTTCTCAAAGTCTCATGTTTTCTACCTTTCCTGTATAATAAGTTAATTCACCTTGTGCTGTTGTGGCTCACAGGAGACTAGGGCTTGCTGTAGTGGTTCTAGTAATGTCCCCTTTCCCTATTCTCTACAGTTAAGAAATAGTAGAAAATATAAAATCCTGATAAAGAGAATTCATTCTTGTATGTATAAATATATTTGACTCATGTTTTAGCAAGTCTAAGACTAGAATAAGATACCTCTCATTCCTTCCATTTATTAAAACAAATTTAAAAAGTAAAACAAATGTTGAATAATTTTTCAAATAATAACTTGAAATCAACTTATAACCTAAATAGCAGTAGAACATCATAGGACTTCTCTGAGATGTATGAACTCTATTGCAGTAAACCAAACAAAATAACTGTCCAAATTCTAACGTTCCCATGGAATGTTTTTATAACACCCTTTTATTTTTGGCACCGGGCATCGAACTCAGGAGCATATGCTTGCAAGGCAGGCGCCAGAACCACTGAGCTAAATCCCCAGCCCTGAAATGTTTTTAATTTGTAGCAGTTTCTCAACTCAACTGAAGCTTTCCAAATAACAAATAAAAAGTACCATGAGAAGCTAAAGATTTTTTAAAGTGTAAAGGCACCCATGGCATGATATGCAGCCTCTTTCATGTAACACTTTCCAGTCATCCTAGAAATCCCTATCTAATACTATTTTCTTTTTAATTCTGTCTCCTATGCATAAAGATATGGAATATTTACATGTGTTTGGAGTGTATCTTGATATCAAATGATATTGATGTTTTTTATATGCATTTCCAAATACTCTCTGATTGGAATGTTCTATCTTGTTATTAACTTATTCAAAATTATTTCTGAAATAATTACTGCATCCTATGTAATTTTATTGTAAAGTTCCCTATTTTGCTATGATTCACTGATCTGCACAAATGAAAATAATCTTAAAGGCCGGCCACTGAGGAACATGCAGCATTATTGAACAGAACAGGATCAATTTGGAAATAAAGAATCATTTCACCCTCAAAATCCCAGGTGAAATCAATTACTTTTTTCTGCATTTTACATGTATAAATAATGTTCCCTCTTTTGTTTTATATAATTTATCAAATTGATTTATATTGCAAATAAGTTCATATATTGTAATGAAATCTCTTGCTAATTCTCTTCCATAAATTGCAACCTTTAAAAAAAAAGAGAGAGAAAAATCTGGCCAGAAAGCACCTGTGACAGCCTTGGGATTCTTGTTAAATCCTAAAGCTTTTATTCTGTATGATATAAATAGCAAGAAACATACAGGCAGTTGTTATGTAGGTAAATCCCTATACTGTTCCAAGAGTTGTAAGACAAGATTATTATCTTTACTTATACCATGTGTCTAATAGGAAAATAATTTTTGGAAATTACTGGTCAGGTGAACCCAACTGAGACAATGCTAAAAGAGATGCCTTTCAGATTTAATGTGCATGACCGCCCCCTGGGAACCTTGTTGAAAACATTTCATGATTGTTCCTGTATCTCCAGAGCAGGATCTGATGTTCTGGACCTGAGGCGCTGGTAGGTGAAGCTGAGCAGCTGGTGGCTGAGGGACCACACTTAGGAGCAGGACAGCGCTAAGAGGATCGCCTGCTCCCCACTGAGAGGGCGATTGCAGGCAGCTGGTGTGGACTCCTCTTATAATCCGCGAAGGAAGGAAGGAAGCCCAGCTGTGACCGACTCGTGTTCCCAGTGGCTGCTCCTGTCTTGTGGCCTGGCGGGATGAAGGGCTCTGTGCTCCTGGGCGGGTCCCTCCTCCTCTCTCTGTTGGTTTGGAAATCCTGTGAACTTGAACCAGGTAAAACAAGAAATCCCTTAGGAGGATGGCGACATAAGGCTGTTTTCTAAAACACTGTTGGGTGAAGACCCGTTCTGTTTTCTCTCTCCCTGCCTACAAACAGAGCAGGGTTGCCTTTCTCTCAGTGGATTTAGTTTTAAAAGTTAGTGTGTTTGCTAATGACGAGCCCCATCTCTTATAGAACTGGGGTTCATTTAACGTGAGAGAACCAGGAAAGAAAGGCTCTTGTGGCCAGAGTTCCATGAGCTAGTGGGAAAGGAGGGTGGGAGCTCGTAGCTGGGCCCTGGGGCTTGAGAAGTGGAATGGAAATTGTACAGCTGTGAGTCTGTGCATCAGCTGTGAGTCAGCTGTGTGTCTGGGTGGCTGTAGCTCAGGTGGCTGTGAGCTCTGTGCATGGAAGATGTGGGAACAGACAGCCTGAGTGTCCTCCTTGGTAACTGTGGACCAGGGCACCAGAAATAAGTGACCGAAAATGCACTGCACCTTATGGAAAAGCGAGAGAGCCAGTGACACGAACATGCTCGCTGCTTAAATCTAGACCTTGCTACCATTGAGGAGTAACTCAGGGAGTTTCTCTGCTTTGCCTCTGTTGCCAACCAATCTATTTCTTGTGGAAAACCTCTAGCTGTGGCCTGTTACCCTGGGGACACACAAAGCTTTTAGCCCTTTCACTGTAAAGAGCTGGTGCTATGAAATTAATGGATGGCTATGTGAGAGCAATCCTGCTTGCTATTTTTCCCTTCACATCTTTGATTTCCTTCTGTTATACCAAAAACTGTGGTCATTTTGCAGCTGTGAATGTGGGCACCCCCTAGACCAGTAGTTCTCAGACTTTGATGTATATACAGGTCATCTGGGGTCTCGTTAAGTGTAAAGTGATTCAATAGGGTGGGGATAAAATGGAGAGTTTAGTAGTTGAAATGAGTACCCAGGTGACCCCGATGTTGCCCATTGATGGACCAGACTGATTCATTAGGCTTCAGATAAATTACTCGCTAGCTCGTGTCAGTATTCCCTGATAGAGAGTAAGTGATGATGTGTGAGTTGGCAATTTGTGGCTCTGGTCCTTTCTTTCCACTCTGCCATATCCTTTAAGATGCAGCCCTTCAGTGGGTAGAGAGGTGCTGTTGATTACAACAGTGCCTGAGCTGACTCTTGGTGGCCAACGGCAATAATGTGAATTGTTATTA